CTAGTAGCGATGCCGGGAGCCCCTAGTAGCGTCCTTGCTCCTAGTAGTAGTAGTAGTAGTAGTAGTAGTAGTAGTAGTAGTAGTAGTGGTAGTGGTAGTAGTAGTAGTAGTAGTAAGGCCAGGAGCCCCTAGTAGCGTCCTTGCTCCTAGTAGCGATGCCTTTTGTTCCTAGTAGCGTCCTTGTTCCTAGTAGTATGGCCAGGAGCCCCTAGTAGCGTACTTGCTCCTAGTAGCGATGCCCTTTGTTCCTGGTTAATTTTTGAGGCCCGCTCTGATTTTCCTTCTAGCTACTTAAATATCTTAAATCTACTTAAGCTACTACCGCTGGACACAGGATAGCTCACGCCTGAGGGTGGGGGGAGCTTCCTTGACGAAGCGCTCGCACTATTTATGTTTGTTCCTAGATGTGTGTTTTGTTAAATGCAACTGCGTAAAGAAGGTCCACGTTTCCGCACATTCTGTCTCAGTACACCCTGAAGCTCCCCGACTCCGTCCTCGGGAATCTGCGGCCAACGCAAAAGTGTCTGAAGCCTTTGATGTAACCAAGAGCACCATTGCAGAAAGGAAGCAGTTTCCATGTCCAGTAGAAACACTACATGGCATGATGTTGAACTGTTGCTTGCAGCAAAAGTTGACCGAACACCATCTACTATGCAAATCAGAGACAGGCGCATTGATCCATCCAAGTCCTAGCAATCTTGAGGCAGCACAGATTCTCACAGGTAGAATGATGATCCTCCAGCAGACCAACGAACATCAGCTTGTGGTAGTTCTGAACCGCCTCAATACTTTGAACAAAAAAATATGATCAAAGCAGATCTCATGAATCACATGAATCACATGACAAGAGAACCCAAAACAGATCCGAAGGGGACCTGAAGTGTGTGACGACGACGAAAAGCAGCAAAAGGAACAGCAGAAAGAGAAGCGGCAGCAAGAGGAGGAACGCAGCAAAAAGAGAAGGAAGGCAGCAAAAAGAGGAGAAGGAGCAGGTGGAACATGGAGAAGCTACTAGGGGCTCCTGGCCTTACTACTAGGAGCAAGAAGCTACTAGGGGCTCCTGGCATCGCTACTAGCAGCAAGGATGCTATAGGGGCTCCTACCGCCGCCCCAACCTACGAAAAATAACAGCGGCTGACAGGCCATGTGGAAGTTTGACGGAAACAAAATGGCCAGGTGCCCTTTCCTCAAGTGTTCAATCCACTACAAAGACTCCAAACTGTGACTGAAGGCCCGCACGCGTTGCAAGGTGGCCGTGCGATTCCTGTAGCAAGGAGTGTCTTTGCACACTGAAGCATCTTAAAGCCTGCTGCCAAGCATCTTGCCATCATTTACAGGTTTCCAGCAGTTTTGCATGGGGTACTAGAACCTTTTGAGATTCGGCATGACCAAGAGCACAAGTTGCCATTGCCCCCAGTGCCAAAATGTGTCCAAGCGTCCGATAGAGTGCCCAAAGTCGCTGGTCATCTGCTTGGCGCCTGGCAGTCTGCTCCAATTTACGGCTGAATGAACATGGAGAAGCTACTAGGGCCAGGGGCTCCTGGCATCGCTACTAGCAGCAAGGACGCTACTAGGGGCTCCTACCGAGCACAGCTGTCGATCCCAGCGTGGTACATCCCCCTTTCGTCCCTCCCTTTCCTCACCTGGTCGATCCGGCACCCACATGCACCGAATGCCCAGCCAACCAGGCAGTACCCGCCATCCCATCCTCGACGCGTTGTAGCGGGCCGAAGCAAGGAGTGTGGTCGAATCAAGTGGAGAAGAAAGAATATCGGATGCATTGTTCATGAAAACCACAGCCCAAAATGGGGGGAGAAACGACTGCAAGTTTCCTGGCTCATCAACTATGATCTGTCCTAGATAGAAAAGGAAAACTATCTGACTCCCTGACACCCATCCTGCCAAACCATAAGTGTGTCAAGCAAGGCTGCTGGGTGGTGAAGGTACCTCGCAAGTGCATTTTGTTCAGCTTTGATGTTTCTTCCATCTTCGACGTCTTCTTCGCTTTTCCTCAGATGGGCACTGGGCAGGGCGCAGCCGCCGCACATGCAATCTGGAGGTCCAGTCCAGGTTCCGTGCCTCGGTGCACACGGCGCGCCGCATCGGTGCCGTTCACGACCCTGGGCCAAGCGGCATAGTAAAAGTGGGACCTGAGGACTTGGAGTTTTCCAGGAACCAAACAACGTAGCTGCGACAATCGCTGACTCAGGGCATCGCAAGAAGCGCTGCACTGGGCTCCGGAACATTGCAAGTCCTGGATGTTCAACAAAGCTAGGTGAAGCAAATGTAAATACAGTACACACAAATCACAATGGTACTCAAGGAAACAAAGAACTGAACCAAAGTGAACGAAGTGGATGCACTGGATGCATAGCACACCAGTCCTAGCAGCCGAACCGGCAAAAACTGCATGTGGTAGATCAAGGAAAAATCAAAATGAAGCGTGCCTCAAGTGATCGGTCTTTCAAAACATGTCTCTGAAGATGTCAAGAAATGAAAATCTATGCTTGAAAACGACTCGATCTGTTTACTAGTAAAACAGGTGCAAATCACATGTGAATGCAGCTTCGTTGCACAAGCAAGGTAACGCAGAAGCCTCTCAATCGCAATGGGACAAAGGTCTTTGATAGCTTGTTTCAGAAAGAGATTTGGATGGATGGATGGATGGATGGATGGATGGATGGATGGATGGGCCAATTCCATACCAAATGATTCGTCTTCAATGCTGACTACTAGTAATGCACTTGTTACTGTACTACTACTAGTAATGCACTTCTTACTAGTAGCTTCTCGTTACTCTATCTGCAGAACCACCACACGTTCCATACAGAGTCAAAAGAACCAAGCAAACAACATCTTGACCATCCAAACAGCGATGTCCAATGCACCACTCAATTGCCTTGTTGTGATTTGCAGTGGCAAGCTCCATAAGTCGCGGCATCTGCTTCGGCCGTGACGTGACGTTTTTCTTTGCCGCTCTCAGACTTGAATGAATCGCTGGATGAAAACCAATCAGTCAGCCTCTGCTGAATCTTCCTTGGTAGACCCCCTGATTCGTTTCTGCTGGATTTCGACATGTGTGTTCTTCTCCACGGTTCAGTCTTCTCAAGTCTGCTGATGTCTGCCGCCTGCAACTCCCAGGCCAAATGCCCACCCGGCACCATCCCAACAGAGCCATGTTCCAAGGCATGCCTGGCACCCGGCATTGCAGCGGAAGGTGCTTCGTGTATGCTCACATTCTCGGCAATCAAAGGAGATATCCAAAGAAGCAAAAGTTTGCTCCTAGCTAGGACGCAGCTGCGCTGCGCTTTGGCTTCGCATCGAATCCCACCTCTTCTCGTAGGTCCAGTGCAGGCGTCCCACCGAGAAGTTCGTGACCTGCAAGCTGAATTGCGATGGACAAACCAATGTGTCAAGCGAAGAAAGCGGCTATGAAGGATAGCTTGCATGGCTTACACATATATAATTGCGGCCAAGCAGCGTTCACAGGTTTGTCCTGAAACAATCTTGTATTTTGTCTTTGCCAAGCAATAACCATGGGGCTGCGGGACATTGCATCGATGTTCTCAATGACAAAATCTAGCCAAACTGGATTGTATAAGCGAAGAATAGTCTTGGCTGGTTCACCCAACCTTACCTCACCAAGTTGATCCAAGTTGCCTGCCATTCCTCTGGAAAGCTTGGACGGAAGCGAACAGCACGGCAACCTGGTATCACTTGCAGATTCGATCAAAAAGCTCAACGAAAGGCACGGGCGAAATGAAATGGACAGAACATGAAAGAAAGCCTGCAATGCCAGGCCCTCGTTGCAATACCTCTCTCAAGGCTGTGCCACCGCTTTTGGAGATGTGCAAGAGGAATGCCAGACCACTGGAGTTGGTCGGCCAGCGTGGAACGCAGCTGCCATCTGCGGAAGAGGAGCTTGACTCAAAAAAGTTGGACAGGCTGACAGACTTGGACTTGTTTAAAGAAAAAGACCATGAATATCCTTGAATGGATTGCGTGAGAAGAAACAAGGGGTGTGGTTTGCAAAAGGTTAACCCAGTCTCATGCTCTGGCTGCTTCAACACCCTCAACACTTGCTCTCCTGTCTGAGCAAGTCTAAGCTAATCGAAAGGAGTCGTCATCGGAACCTAATTGGTCAGATCGGGTTCATAGGATCGGAATCTGATTGGTCAGATCGGAATCGCAGGAGTGACGGGCGCGTGCTCGGCAACACCATCCCCACCATCCCGACCATCCCGACCGTCATCCTCACTGTTGTCACGCAGGTCTCATCCATCCCGACCATCCCGCACAAACGCCTTGTCGACGCTGATCCCTTCTAACGCTGATTCGGCGAAGTCGTATAAAACTATTCCTACTGTCGTTCTAACTGGCTGTGCACGGACCGTCCCGATCATCCCGACCGTCCCGACCATCCCGACCGTCCCGCTAGAATCTGATCCTACGATGCTGATCCGGCCAATTAGAATCTGATCCCAGACGGTGATCCCTGACGCTGATCCGGCAAAGTCGAATCTGATCCGGCAATTACCCGCAATGTCAAGGCTTTGCATTTTATACACTTTCTCGAGGACAGGGACACCGCCACTTTGCACCCCGAGCCGTAGTGCACTTCTGGCTGCAAAGGAGGCAGATTGTGGTGGCTCTCTCGAAGAAGCCTGGCTGCTGGTGTCTCTAGATCTCAAGAGTTGACTCAAGAGACAACTCATGTTTTCCTTGTGTCGGCCCTTCATCCCGCGTGGTGAGTATCTTATGCGTAATGTGGCCAGCCTGCGGAAGGCAAAGACACTACTGGCAGCCTGCCGAACACGCGGCTGCCTGGCAACTGGAAATGGCGAGCATTTGCAGGCGCGGATCTTTTCCTGATTGATTCGCTTTTGGGGTCCACACCTTTCAAAGAAAAGCCGCCCGGCTCCTCGAGTACACAATCAGATTCATCTTGTATAAGTAAAGCAAAAAGAAATCACGTTGACCTTATCCCCAGGAGAATTTCTCAAGTCGCTCATTCTAAGCCATTAGGTGGCCTCAGAGACAAAATCTGAACACATCTTCAAGCCATCTGGTAAGCTTAAAACTAATCTTAATTTGCTTCTTCAAAACCTCCATTCTTGAGCCAGACCAGCCATACCCTTCCTTGTCGACTCTCCCTTGCCCTGACCACCGTGACATCACTTGCAGCCGCGGCAGCATCGGCACGCCAAAGAAGCTGCCAGGCCTTTCGACCTCTTGGGTGAAGTTTTGAGAAACATCCAGAAAAGCCCTTCTTTTTTCATTCTATATCCTCAATCATCCCAAATGACTCGTGAAACACGTCTGTCTCCTTGTTCTGAAAACTGCTCTCAACATGATGCAAGCCCCTGTGGCGCAGGTCCGGCCTTCCTGCCCTTCCTCTCCTCGCACCAAAAGGGCCACACATAGTGCAGAGCTCAGCACCCAACCATGGTGCATGGATCATGGCGAATACGTGACAGGTGACAAATCACAGAGGTCAGCTATGGTCTTCCCGGGAACCTGCTCACACGCACATACCTTCAACTAGCAGTGACTATCAGTCTTATATAAGTTGAGAGAAATGAGGCTGTTGGATTGCAACAGTGGTAAGCTAGCTTCCAGGTTGGAGGCCTAGTAGATTGGAGGCCATTGCTTTTAGAGTTCCCTTTGCATGTTCGTAGGTTGGAGGCCATCGTCACAAGACGATGCTGTCAGGCTGTCAGTTTGGCTTCAGCCGAGCTGTGTGACGCATTCAATCAAAAGCAAGAGGGTGGATCCAATCAGACCTTCTATATAGCATGTATTTGTACCTCTATGTAAATGTATGGGGTGGCGGACAAGTCCTGTGAATCTATTTCAAGCGTAATTGTTTTGTCTGTCTATGTTTGAAGTCAGAGCATCCTACACGGTCCCACTTTGTTCCGCATGACCCCTCTGAAGACTTCACAGAAAGGGAATCGAGCTCCCACTGGCAACTGCAGGCTCAACTGTCTTCAGCAACGGCAAAGCAGGGCCCGCACTTGGCGAAATTCTCTGGCCACGGACCTCAATTGTTCCGTTCTTTTGCATAGGGGGCACTGTCGAAAGTCCCACCTTGAGACAAGAACGTTCCTGACAAGCTCACACCACCAGGTGGGACGAATATCGTTTCTGCATTCAGAGATTGTACTTTGATGTCCTGATATTATTGCCCCAAGTATATTGTTTGCACCAAGCTTATGCGGTCTCTATAGAGACCCCTGTGATGGTGAGCTGATCCACTGGACGCTCGGCAAAAGTACGGACCCCACCAGGTTTCTCATAGCTCTCGTCCACCTCAACGCAGGACAGGCAAATGAATGGCGCACAACTCTCCAAAGAGCCCGGGAAACTTACTGTAAGTTGACGGACGCAGCATCTGAATCATCTCCAATGCCAAGTCATGGGGATTCAAAACAAAGCCGCAAGCCCCAAAGTGTGAAGGGCCCCAAAAGGAGAATGACTCAGTCCGCCACTGAGCGCATTGAAGTCCAATGGAAGTCTTGGATGTCGCCTGAAAACAGTTGATGAAGAAAGCATAAGGCATATGGATCCGATCTGTCTATGCCGTTTTATTAGAACGAGTTTGTGTTCAAGAAAGCCTCCCAACATGACTGCGGTTTTCGCATTACTTCACAAGCAAACCATGACTGCATTTGTTGAATTCGACGCAAAAAATCTGCTTCCAGGCTGGCCTGGCCAAAGAGGTGCACCAGACCCCTGCAAAGGAGAAGTGGAACATGTCAAGGACGGCGAAGAGGTTCTTTCTCAAGAAAGGTACAGTATTCATTCAGTGTCCCCCAAACTCCTGGTTGACATGTGGAAATTGGCAAGACCTGCAAAACCCGCCATGCGTTTGATTGTTACAGGAATGGAAATGAATCATCCTGTTGTCGCATCCGAGCAGTACCGGCTTTTGAAGCTGTCCGCTTGGGCCTGATGTTGAAAAGTTTGAGCTGGACGGTCCGGACGGTGGACAGTGACAACTTCCTGCGGAATAAACATCGCAAATTCTGCCAGTACAAGATAGTACATGTCAGTCAGCCTTAGCTAGATTGAACATTGACCTGGAGCGGCAGGCGCAAAAACTATTCTCTTTTGTAGACGGTGGACGTCCTCCTCAGACACATCAGTATAATGGAAATCCATCTCAGGCACCTTTCACAAGTCACAAGTTTTCCCTCCAACACTTCCAGCCTGATTCTACGTTCCCTCTTATTTCCTCAAGCCTTTTTGGTCTTGACTCTCTGTCTCTCCGTGGGTCTATTCCACGTCACTCCCCTCATGTTTCACTGAGAAGCAAACGAGTGGAGCTGAATCTGACCTGGGCTTGGAAATCCATGAACAGGTGTCAGTATCAGACAAATCATGACCACAGTGGAACAGATTTGACAAAGCCATGAGGGAACTGCACCATTCCAGCAAAGATGTGGCTTTGTTCAGGGAAAGGTGGGAGAAAGTCTAATGAATGCTTCTGAGAAGTCTGAAACTTGTAAAGCTACACAACTGAAATGGACAAACAACCATGGAGAACGCTTCTGAAAGTTGACATGAGTCTTCTGGAGAATGCTAATGGCAAACCACAAAGCACACGTTCGACCCCATTCACCCGGTTCGACCCCACTCAATGCGATCAGCTCCCCACGCTAACTCTTCTGGCAAGGGCCACCGTAGGTCTTCTGGCCTAAAAAGCGAATGCGATAGGCCCTTCATACCATTTCATACCTATGAGCGGTAGAGGAAGCAAGTCTTTGAACTGTCATGACGTCATCACAAACACAACATAGCACGAATACACTCTTTCCCGCATCACAGTCAGAACCCAGCCTCAAGCCAGACCGTCCCTGAGTGTCGTCACAGCCTCACAAGGTATCAAATCTTCCAGAGATCTCCAGAGTGACGTGTCTATGAACCGATGCAGTCCATGGCTTCTACTAACTACTGCTTGAAGTCATCTGAAGCCTCAACTCGAATTCCCACACATGAATGTACATAAGCCATCCAAGGCTCCAATTTCTTGGGGTAGGTGGAAATTTGGAGGGAGCACCCTTCGCCTTTGCCAAGCCACCATTGCTACAGGCGTAGAGTGGGCCGCCAGGCTGGCCAGCGAATGGCCGTAGCCTTGAGAATGAAAGTCATCAATTGAATTGGAGCTCATTGAATGGGATCCACGTGGTGCGACTCAAGTAAAAACTTGCCAGGTAGAGGCCGACTATATAGCTAGCCAACAAACAGACAGATCTGAGGACCAAACCATTCAACATCGCAGGTACTGCCTTAGTGCAAAGTCCTCAAAAAGCCATCTCATCAATCCTGTCCCAGAGTTCAAGAAACCTAGAATGCCATCCCTCCCAATTCCCATCTGGGTATCAGCACCAGCAATACGAGCAACCTGACGTGGCTTTTCGTCGGGTCGATGCCAACTCTTCGGGCCAACAGTGGCCCGCAGAAAACCACAGTGTTCAGATCCGCTTGCCCTGCCTTGGCCCAGTAGCAATCGGTGGAATCCGAAAACCTCAAACACACGGGCTGTCAACTTCCCTTCAGAAGCCTAGTGCCAGCCATAGAGGTTTGAATTGCGCTGTTGAAGTGCCAGCCCGAGGCTTTCATCACAAGCCATCGTGAGGAATACCAAGCCATGGTGAAGGAGTTCTCCATTCGAATCCCTACGCCACCTTGCCAAGACGATGTCTCCAGGAGCGGGACTTCCTGAGTCATCACAGAGTACCAAGGGACAAGTCGAAACATTTGAATTCTGAATGGGCTCTCTATTTACTGTCTAAGAGTAAAATCTGAGGAGTGTCCTCGGATTGCTGGACCATGGGTGACCATGGATCAACTGGAAGTGCATGTTCATGCATGTTCTTCGCCCCACCTTTTTGCTCTCGGCCTTGATTGCGACGTCCCAACCTGGAAAGCATTATCACAACTGGGACAAGTGACTCTCACCGATCCAACGTCAGTGGCATCTCTATTTTTGAGGCCAGGAGCTCACTAGAATCACAGAGTGGCTTGACACCAAGCAGAACTTCTCGGATGGTATATAATCCCCCACTGGGTCAAACGGTTCAACCTTTCGCTGCTCTCCATCTTAACCCACTCTGAGAATCTCACGTGCTGACCAAGCGGACCTAACACAAGGAAAAGAATGTGGCTCACTCAGCGGACCGATTTTTCTCATCTTGAAGAGCTACTTGTGAAACAAGTGAGAGTTACTCAAAATCAGGGCGTATTTACACTGTTGCTTCGCCAAGTCACTGTTGCTTGCCTTGGGCAAACCTCGACCATGGCCAGAATAAAGAGATTGTTCTTCACCAGTTTCTGAAGTCTTCCAATCTGAAAACCCCGGTCATAGCTCTGTGCAAAACAAGCAAGCTGTGCTCCTTTCAATCTTGTGAATGATTTTGGTGCAACCAGGTACCTAAAAACTAAGGTCTGCAATAGCATTTGAGCAAAAGGAAGCAATTCAAATCAACTGATTTGGCCCAAGCATCTGAGAATTCAATCTAAGATCAAGCAACATAGTCGTCAAAAGCAATAAAACACGGCCCACAATACAACTTAGTCGTGCGATGTATCACCTCTTGGCCTTATCAAGCTCAGCTCCGTGTTGAAATCCCCTTGGGGGAGTGTTCTTGTGTGTTGACGAATCTGTTGGAGACGGACGGACAGGGCGGACTTGAAAAAGCACACACTCTTTTGGCCTCTCTCGATCGCTTCCATCGCTATAGATCTCCACACTCTTAAGGATCCCCCCGATGGGATCCCACGCCGCATCCGCTAGGGGAGATCCGGCAGAGTCCCCAAACCAGCTCAATCATTCCGTTTGACCAGAAATCTGTGGAGGGTCTTCCTCTTCATGACTACACCCTGCGGCCGATGCGGTCAGCAAATGGTTCGAACTTGGGAACATGTCAGCAGCACTGTCTTCTAGAGTTGAGATTTCTCCATGTGCTTTGCATCAGCAGCTAAGCCTGCCAAGCAGTTCTGTTTTAACATTTTCCAGTTCCCACTGTTGCTGCCCCGGGAGTGCTCAATCGCTGAGTCTCAAGCTTCCCCTGCCTGCAGCTCAAACACAATAGGGAATCGCTACGTGAGTGTCTCAAACTTGGGTGGTACTTGTAGCAATACCAGGAGCGCCCCTAGTAGCGTTCTTGCTACTAGTAGCGATGCCCTTTGTTACTAGTAGCTTTTTGTTACTAGTAGTAAGGCCAGGAGCTACTAGTAGCGTCCTTGCTCCTAGTAGCGATACATATATATATATACACTTTAGCTTCATGACATAGAACTCCGTGGCCCTAGGGCAAAGCCTCATGACTTAGCCGCAAAAAAAATTAGGTACTTTTCACAACTCCTTTGTCATTTCACCCTAGTATATATGATATGTGATGTGTATATCATGGAAGGGAATGACTTTCTGAACAATGAGGTTTGGTGCACTCTGCAGGCACCAAACTCATTCTGCATAAGCAGAGATTAGACCGGGGACGAGAAAACGCTGGAGGGGAATTGAGGTGTTCGCTCCCCAAATCATTGCGTGCTTTCTACTGCGTTGTCTCCAAGCCAGCCAAAGCATTTTGCCATCGAAACCACACGTTCCAGCAGACTCCACTGCCTCTGCAGCTGCAACTTGTTCCATAAGTGCCTCGCTGCAAGAAACTGCGGCAGATGTCGAGGGAGAACCGTGGTTGACAGATTGATCCTCATTGAAAAAAAACATTCTTCACAGCTGAGATCTTTCCCAAATGCAAGGGCAGAAGCAGGCAAAGGGAAGTCGCCCTTTGCAATCACTGAAGCTAATGTTCTCATCATGTGTCTTTCAGTGGCGGGCTTTGCTGACAGGATCCTCCTCTTCTCCCTGTGCCAGTGCAAGCGCACTGCAAGCGAATTGCATGGCAAGAGCTATGTGATACAACGAGCTATAAATCAAAAATGCACCCCAAAAAAAGCAACATGACATACTGCCCTTCAGAGTAAAGACTAAACTAGGTAACTAGGTTGATCGCAGGAAAAGAATCATGTCTAATCACTCAATCAGCAAAGATGGGAGCTAAACCGGGAAAGCAGACATGGCCTCTAAGCCCTGTGCAGCAGCCTCAGAGGGAATCGGGTTCAAACATGTCAACCCAAAGATAAGTCTTTTTCCAAGCCTTGGGACACCTGCTTTTTCTTTGGACTATGCAGTACAGGGGCCAACGGGCCGCACAAGCCCAGGGCCCTTGCCAAGAGTCGCTTGAGGATGTGACCTGACCTACCTTTCTCAACCTGACCATGAGGATGTGCCTACTTGGTGGTGTTGTTAAGTCACCCGTGTCCGTGACAAGTCACTCCAATCTTAGCAGTCTTAGCAAAACCAATGGAGACCGACGCCGACACCGGACAACACATGTTGTTCAAACAGCTATCACCATGGGACATCGCTTAGCAAGATATCATTCAATGCAAGATATTCAAGAATATGTAAAACACAATGGGACCCCGCTCTGACATGTATCTTTCGCAGCCACATTGGACAGGTAACGCAGTGAAGCACCGCTTCGGAAGACAGATCCCAGCCAACAGATTTCTCATGTAGGGAATGTGTGTTTTTTTTACATGGTGTTCTGCGCGAGCCCTGCGCGAGCCCTGCGCGAGCCCTGCGCGAGTCTGCGAGTCCTTGGAGCTACACTTACTTGAGCCCATGATGCTCTCATATACGCAATCATTATGCTGCAATATGTAACGCAGCTGATGCCCTAATGTAGCTGGACTGCACCGGACACCATTCACGCGCGACTTCACACAAGCACGGGACGACTTAACCCTGGCACCCAGTACCTTTTTCCTGATACTGCTTCCGTTTGTTCGTTTTATCCTTAGATGTGTCTTTTTGCTTTCAAGTGTTGTTGACCCTTTTCCTGGTGTCAATCATCTGTCAAAGCAGCCGTAAGGATGTCTTCTTTGTCTGCACACACCATTTCATGATATGAAAGCTGTATGAAGGTGCAAGGTCGGTTTGCATCAATTGAAGCTGGCATTTAGCCAGCACCCTTCAAAATGTCTAGTGATGGTGATCCACAAGTAAATCGTATCCTTGAAAAACATTACAAGAGACCTGAACAAGCCTAACTAGTGAGCTGCAAAAACAAGGACCAGGACCCTGCGGCCCCCCGACATCTTCGAGAGGTGCAGGACCATCAGCACCGTTCTCTCCGTTCACGGCGACATCAGCACCATCAACACCATCAGCTGGATCGGCTCCCACAGTTTCCGCTGCACCAAAGGCACCCCTGCGCATCGCGTGGGCAATGCTTGCTGTTATGTGGTGTCAACGACCATTCCGTGGGTCAAATAATACCACAGCGTGGATGCATGAAAGCTACATGGAGATATGTTCACACTGTCTCTCAAAAGTCTCCAGGACGCCTGGGTGAATACAGTTCTTTTGCATCAATTGTCCGAAAGCCCTTGAGGCAACAAGGTGAGGATCACATTAGCTTGGGAGCAGCATCTTGGACGACAGCCCCCATGAGCACCGCAAACATGGGAAAAGCAAGGCCAAATGCGGAGGTCGTTCAGCATTCGATGCATGTTGAAAGCATGCATCAAGCCAGACCAAACAACTTTGGAGTGGTCATACTGTCAGAGCACTGAAGCCAATTATAGATCAAGGTCGTGGCGCTTGATCAGCCTTTAAAAGCCCAAAGAAAATACAAACTGTCTTCGACAACGGCGGCTCTGCTTAGCTCACTTGCGAGCTCCTGTCACCCTGATTTGGAGAATCTGTCTCCAAGGCAACGATTCTTCAAGCTCACCACAAAAGCAATGGAAGCATGAGACATGAGCATCATGAGTATCAATGAGGCATGAGGTATTGCTTTTATCCTGGAGACAGAAGCTAATGTCTAATGTCTTATGACTTACGTCAATAAGACACCAGGAAGCATGATCTGTGGATGGACATCAAAGTCCACATGAGGACCAATGTCGTATGGCAGATCAAACTCTCTGTCTGGGGCCATTCGCTTGTCCTGGCCAAGCAGCATCGCAAGCAATTTGCTGGGCTGAATGCAAAGTCAGCTCAAAAGATATCAAGAAGTTACTCCAGGATTGCAAGAAGTATCCACTGGCATTGCTGGAACAACTCTATGCAACAAAAGAGATGGAAATCATCTCATGAAATCAAAAAAAATGGCATCGCTGGAAACTCATGGCGCCAAAAAGCAAAACGTTTAATACACCAAAAAGCAAACAATAAGGACCAAATGTAGTTCAAAACTGTGGCCCATTGTTCGCACTCATCTCCTGCTGAGTCGCACCTGGCAGTTAAGTCAGTCCCAAATGGAACCTACTAGCGTTGGCCTCCACCCAACAATAACATGTCCAGGTCTTTCCTCAAGTTTCTAACGATGTCCAACGCTGCTGAGTCAAGTGGTTTGGCTTCATTTCAATGGCTCCCGAATGCTCCTCATACCGATACGACAAGTTACAAAATCTTGGACCAGTTGCCCGTTTCATAAAAAATATGGATTCAATTGAAATGAATTGAAGGACGTCTCACCTTGAACGCCTTTCTGTTGATCGCTCACCTGCTCTGCGGGGTGCTGCGGCCACGGTGCTGCCCAGGTCTATGACTACAGACGCTTGTCTTCGTACAGAACGAAATGAACGAAGGTAATGGGCTGTATATAACAACTCGTTGCCCGTTAACTGAAGCTTCAACCAAATCAAAAGAAATAGAATTTACGTTAATCAAGTCTTCAAATGATTTCGGAGACCTCTCAAAGCAGCCCCAAAGTAAATTCTTGATTGCCACGGCCTGCTTCCAATCCAACCTTATCAAATCTGCCAACAACACGAATACAAAAAAGGGCCACAACACAGGGTTGTCAGGTCCGAAAGTTTCACCAATCTTTGTCTTTTCGACATGATAATTATCCACCGACCCCGGCTTAGCTATCAGCGGGGCGGTGCTTGGGATATTGCAGGTTCCCATTTCCTACACCATCTTATGTCTACTGGTGGAAGCTTTTGGCTGTGGGGCTATAGCCGGCTAGAGCTCTGCTTCCGCGCACTTTTGCGATGCCTAAGACACTGACCGGAGGGCAGCGACGTTGCTCTCCAAATGCTTCAGCCGCTGATCAGCCAAGATCACTTTCCCTCGGATCTTTGTTGACCACAGGCACTCCCATTGTAGGGTGACGGCACGGGTGACACCTCTCGGAGCGAAGCCCTCGTAGAATCTCATGAGAAAAAGCTCTTACGTATGGAAAAACACATGAGAAAGGCCAACCTTGCAAAGTGTCCTTCGTCAGACTTGCAAGCTTTTGTGCTCCAACACCCGCTTTGTGGCATCCAAGGCTACACGATGCGAATCACGACTTTGTGGATGAAGTCATGCGAGAACTCAACGACTGAAGTCATGTCAATGTCATCTGGAATGATGAGAATCATTCATGTATTTAAATCTTGACACATTGCCAATGCAATAAACGCACAACAAACTCTTCCAGTTGACACCAAAGCACTCTTGATCCGGCGGCTTTCATCCATGACGCAGGCAATGTCAAGGGCCTTCAAGAAGGCTACGGCTACACCAAAGGCCCAGTGCAGAAAGGATGCTGACACGCAGCTTAAAGACTGTACAAACCTTCTTCCAAAACTAGCCGTGAAGTAGATGGACAAAATTCGATTGGCCCGCGCAGTGTCCTTCGGCTGCCCTTCTTGAACATAATGTTGACAAATACGTATGCCTGGAGTCTACTTTTGCCAAACATCCTCTTAGGCATCCGGTCTTACAGTAGATTTACAAAAGACATTGTACGCATTGAGCTGCCCTTCAAGTTGAAAAATGCTTGGAGTCTTCTCATTAGAACCTCTCATTCCACCAAAACACAAAAGAACAAGCCCATTGCCGGGATTGCCCGCAGGCTTGGCTTTTGGTTTCCCGTTTGCCCCCTGTGCCACAATACACGTGCACCTTCGCTGGCCCTCTCAAACGCAAGCAGCCGTCCATGAATTCCTCAGCCATGCTTGCAGAATTGAAAGCACATCAAGACTTGCCTGGATGAATCTGCCGCCGTTCCTTTCTGGGGATGTGTAGTTATTTCTAGAAGGTCGTCTTGTGTTTTTGCACGAAGGCCAATCTCCTTTAGGTCTCCTTGTAGGGAAACTCCAGGGGATCCGACCTCTAAATCCAATCGTCCATTGGACGCGAGAGCCAAGCGTCCATGAGATTAATATCTCCATTGCCTTCCTCATCCAGCAATTTGAAAAGAGTCCAGGAGTCTCGAGCACTGAGATCCAACGATTGGAAGATGGCTCGGACCTCATCTTGGTCGAAGAAGCTCCTCAGTACGGCAAGAGTGCTGGACTCCCACATGCTGGACAGAACAGTACTTGAGCCGCGTCTTTTTGTGCCTCGTGGTTTGTGGATGCCTTTGCTTCATGCTGCTTCACCTTCCACCAAGCATCTCCAGCTCACAAAGGGTGATGGCTCCATCTTCTTCCAAACCTAAAGACGTACAGGACTGATCCCAGTCAGGACGTACCACAAAACACCTTCCAGCTGTGGATGATTTGGGTAATCACGCACCACCACCCACAAATGCCTTGTGAACAAGTACTGGTGTCACAGCTAAACCCCGAAGCAGGGAAACAGTGGCCACGATATAAATGCAGCCCGGATTTCCAAACTGGAATTAAGTACTAGACACAGGAAACCGTGGCATCGTTTGAACACCATTCTTGTGGCATGTCCGTTTGCACAGCACCTAACTTTAAGCATCATGTCCGAATCACCATCAAAGATGTGGAAGAGTTGTTCAATGCGTCTTTTGAGCCGCCTCGTGGACAGGGACATGCCGGAATCCTTTTCGCGATCGACTGGTTAGACTTGACAACCGGATCCAAGCTTGCTTGAAATCAAACCAGAAAATGGGCGGAAACAACAACAAGTTTGGACAGTTTGGACGATTTAAACTAAATCGTACCTGATCAAAACCAAGTATGCCCGTGCAATCTCAGTCAATGTTCAACCGTGTTCGACTGACACAGCACACAACCAGCCGCCTCTGGTCATCGTGAAATCGTTGCATTATGTTTTGCTCATCTTGCTCAGCGCTTTCAATTGCACGTTTGCAAAAGACAGCCTTGGCAGGTTGACCAGGGAACGGACGTATGTTGAGGATAAAGAAAGCAAGGACTGCCGAAATCCAAGCGTCAGTCATCACATTTAGAACGGTGAAATATGAAAATGCAATGTAGCCCGTCAGAACATATCCTTGGTGAAGCACCAAATCAAGAGTATCAATAAGGATCAATAAGGCCAACACAATTTGGTCCAAAATGCCCATCGTGCAAAATTGTGCGTTTTGAAGCCTGTTGCAGGTGTCAAAGGGACAGTTGGTAGTTGATGGATTGCAACATGAAAACCACATCCTCGTAAAATATCGTAAAATTATGCAAAATGTACACTAAGACGATGTTACAACACGTTTGGAGCTGCCACAACGTGACTTTTGAGAAAGAGCTGGAAGCAGATGTCTTTTGAGAAACAGCTAGCGGCAGCTAGCGTGCGAAATGTTGCAAACTAGCACGCTAGCTGTGGGGTTCCAAAGTTGAGCCAAATCATGAGACCAAGTCGCCCCAAAACCAGTTGATGTGGACGAGCAATTCTGCCATATTACCCCAGTCCACTCCACCAGTCACAGAGCGGAAAAGCGTATGCATGGAGCTGTGCCTGAGAAGCCGTGGTGGGTTGAAACCGACCCTGACACTGAACGGTCAAAGCACCCTCAACAGAAACTCCACCCCTCTCTTGTGTTGCGTAGTCTCTGCTAAAGCGTCTACTTCACTGCTCGAGTTTGTTCCAGGTCTAGTTGCGGAGAAACATGAATTGTATTGCCATAATGCATCAAATGTTAGTCACGTTTTGCTCTATTGGTCCAAAGCACAAGGAGCCAAAATGTTTCATGAGATCAGCTTCCACTGACCCCGCTATGTGCATGGTCTCGACTCCCTGCAAGGTGATAAACCCAATGGCATTGTCAGTGAACAAAATACCAAACCTCAGTCAATGCAAAAAGATGGTGCCCCTCTAGCCTTCCCAAATCACGGCCTTGGATCAGCCTAATGATTGGGCATCGGAGCGCTGCTACAAATGGCTGCCTTGTATTTCTGCAACCGAAGAAGCACATACATGACCATGAGAAGAAGAAGCAAGCTCCAGAGCAAGGATTTCAAGGTAGACAAGATTGAAGAAATCAGCGAGGTGAGGCCAGAAATGAACTTCACCACCTGTTGATAGGCCAAAGGAGCGGCAAATTGATCAAATAGATGAGAGAAGAACTTGAATGACAAATACAGAAGGCGATGCAATCCTGTTGGTCATGGAATGTCACCTCCCAAAAGTCGCATTCCGTCGGTCGAAAGCCACCCACTCAACCAACACCTCGCCTTGATGACGCGCATCACCCGCAAGATGCGCACGATGCGGATCACGCGGATCAGATTCGTTGGCACAATGCGATTATCGTTGTCACCCGTCTGTGCCAGCAAAAGGATGTCAAAGACTACCTCCACCAAAGAGGTGCAAACGATGGTCAGGTCCAAATAGTTCCAGAACATCCTCAGGAAAGTACCCAATCCAGTTTTCTTGTTTGTTAAAAAACCAGGAGACTGCTATTCAGTAGCTACTAAGTAATTACTAGTATCTTGGACGCAGAAGGGCTCAGGCTTCGTGTTTCAACCTAATTTTGTGGCAAAAGCTAGGCAATGTCCTGCAGAAGTCGCACTCGAGTTTGTCCGCAGTTGTCGGTTTCCTCTTCTGCACCCCTTGCAACGTACATGACAAGATCCAAAAGTTGCTGGTATAAACACTGCAAGGAGCAGCGTCCGATCCTTGGCGCAGAAGAAGTTCCGTCCATCAACCCAGATTTTCAGCAACAGCTCGATCAAGAAGAGCGCCAAATAAGCTAGGTCAAAGACCTGCCAAAGAAATACGTAGAAATACACCGGGGCAATCTTGAAACCTTGTGAATGTCCAGCTAACTTCCGCTATGCGTGTGTGCGCTGTAGAAAAAACTTCAAAAGTTATGTCAGTGTTCTTCGCAGTATCTTTTGATGTGCTCAACTTCACGTTTCCTAGGCCTATGGCTCCAAACACACAGCTGTGGCGGCCTTGAATACCACTGGCATGTCCTTCCCAATGTTCCTTGGTAACATCACTGGAGTGGGATGTTCACTCCACGGTTCACGGTTCATTCTATGCTATACACGCCGTGCCCACAGCACAACTAAAACCCTTTTGGTCTCGTCCACGCCTCTTAAGCTGAAAGGCAGCTCAAATTGTATCAATGTGTCGCTACAGCAGCTGGGAACGCCATGGGCAGTCCTGGAGCGCCCTACCCAAGCTCCAAAAAGCACATGGCCATGGACATCTTGCCGCAGCCCTGTAGCGGCGCCAAAACCCAAGCTCCCCAATTCGTACGGTAGCTCCTTCATCTCCTTCACGCAAGTGAGTCTCTAGACTCTGTGGGCGCATTGTCGTACTTTTCCATTAGCCGAATTTCTCTACTGCTATCCCTGCGTTCAGGATTATCTTCCAAACTTCTGGATTTGTCAGACTGCTCTTTGGCGATCTTGTCAATGACCAAACCGGTGAGGTAGATCTGGCGATACTGATACACCTTTCTGGTCTCCCCTGGAACACGCCGATCGCGCAGGCGCTTCGGTGGAACAACGTTACCTTCTCCTGATACTGTGGAGTTGGTAGGCATCACCCTGCAACCAACCAAGCAGTCAGCCGGCAGAGCCAGGCAGAAAGGATGAACAGGACCGCCGTACCACCACAGCAGCACCCAACCAGCCCTTGTCGGGAGTGCACGGCGGAAAGCCTGTGTTACTGACAATCAATCTCCAGGAGTCTCCAGGAGGTTGTTATCTCTCGAAATCTCGGTAAAGCGTGCGCTCATGCGCCGGCGCTCACCGTCTTTTTGCTGCAAAGCTCGGGCCAAAGGTGCACCTGTTCAACCGACTTCACGACCTTCACGAAACGGGCTTTCTTCTCGCGAACCACCCGGGGCCGTGAGCTGTGCGCGCAGCTTGTCCAGCCAGCCACGCAGCTGCCCACGCAACAGCTTCGAGGCCTGTCTGCAAACACCATCTGCACAATTGTCCTTGATGAGCTCTTGGATGCTGCGGGTATCCACATAGGTCCGTGTGTCAGTGGTCTTCGGACGCTCTGCCGCGACAGCGTCGAACAAGGACTTCTGGTTCAGCCGCCAGCTGCTCAGATCTCTCTGAGGTCTGTCTCCTGCAAGGAGCTTGGGGGGAGCAAAGTCGATTGGCGAACCCTGCCATCGGTTGCTGCACCGGTCGATGAGGTTGGCCTTGGCGTTGACCTCGCTGCAATGCGGGGTCGTCAGGAGCGCCAGTGAACCTTGCTGGGAGGAGGACTGCTGGGCGCTAGCTGATGTGGAGTCTGCATAGCCTAAAAGGGGGTGGCAGTGTTGATGGCCACAGCTTGGAACACCAAGCCTTCGTGCTTTGTGGAGCGGCAGTATTCCAAGGTGTCGTAGAGACGGCAGGTCAGCAAGAAGGTAAAAGAGCATCTTGTCCGAGTGGAAAGTTGATGGACGGCATTCTTTCTTTTGACCGCCTCTTTGAACCAGGTTGGCCAGAAGGCCCTGAAGGCGCGGCTGTAAGCTCCTGCGTGAGTGCAAGCTCCTGCTCACAGGCGCGATGGAATGAGGTCATGATGAGATTGGCTCCAGCTAAGAGGACGCACTCGCTGGCGCATGGTCTAGGTCTAAATGCCCTAAAACATCTTGTCTTGGCTTGCAGTTGATCTAAATGCATTTGCACTTGGTTGGGTCTCTTTCCAGAGCCTTTTGGTTTCTTTTCTGGTCTGGAGGGTCCGCGTCATCATCTGGACCTGAGGCCTGAGGTTGCTGCTGCTGCGAACTGCGCGCAGTGCATGTCTTCAAAGAGCCTCGTAGGTGGCGCGGTGGCTCGACGCTGCTGAGGTAGCGTCTCCGGGTCTTGTCTTGCGGTAGTCACAGTGTCTTGCGCTGTCTGTAGTTACGCGCTCGACGCCGCTGCCTCAGGTCGCGCCGTCGCTGACGCGCCTGCCCTTGTTCGAGGTAACGCCAGAGGCTGTGGCTTTTCTGAGGCGTTGCGCTGCGGTTGTTCGTCCAGCACTTCCAGTGGGTTATAAGAGTCGGCATCCGCTGGAGGTGCTGTTAACGAATGCTCTTGCCAGAGGTCCAGGCGTATTTTGGCTGCTGCGTCCTTGGGGACTTACCGGAGCCCTTTCCATGATGATCAACGCTCCTTTCTTCTTGGCGCTTCGCCCTTTGGGAACTGGACCCTCTGGCTGGCAAGATCGATGATCGCCCCCACTTCTTGCAGCCACGCGCGCCCGTCCAAACATGGTATGTGAGCTTCCAAAAAAGGGCGGCCAGGACACAAAGGTGTTCACCGGACCGGACCGGAAAGTAGAGCGCGTGGGTTGAGCGTAGTGGAAGCCTTCCCAAACTCAAAGTACTGGCTCTGCGCTGTCATACTCAAGGAAGGGGGTAGATGGACCATGTGTGGAACTTTTCTGGCCCTTGAAGTCCTTGCCTTAGTCCACATTCAGGGTCGCCGGCGCAATGGCGCGCCATTTTCGTTCTGCTTTGGCGCTGCGGCGTTTCCATAGCGTCTAGCTTGCGCGACGCCAGCCAGCTTCTTGGCGGCGATGGTGAGAATTTCAGTGATCTGGGGGTTCCGGAATCATGGGCCATCTGGCCATCTTCATCAGCCTCTTCAGCCTCATCCGGGCTCGCCTTCATTGACCTCAGCGACATAGGTCTGCTTAGCAGGGACCGCCTTTCCCCTTGCCCTTGCGGTCATTGTGGCGTTGACCTGGTCAGGCTGGTCGTCCTTTTCCGCCAGGCAAGCCAAGTTGATGGAGTCAAAGCCCAAGGATTCCGATGAGCACTTGACGCTGACGCGCGCTTCAAGTGGACTGATCAAGTCTCAACCGCCTTCTGGATGGTGGTGAGAACCCGTTGAATGGAGGAATCCGGCCTCCTTCTTTGGGACGTAGTTGATGACCTGGAGCTGCCACTCTCGATGCGCCGCTTCCATTTTCTGAAGGCAGCAAGGTCGTTCTTATCGTAATGCCACTGAGGTGGCACTGGCGGTTGTACGCCTCTGAACTTGACGCCGTTCATCGACCCCTTCAAGCTGTTCCACGCAGAAGACGATGAAGTTCGCGCACGATCATCTGAGGGAGTTCATCAGGAGGATCACCAGGTGGATGTCCGTGATGCGGCGGCGTTCGCCTCCATCTCGAAGGCCACGACCAGTGTCCCAGCTGATGGAGCGCCCGTCCTGGGCTGCGGCGCAGGCTGGACAAAACTTGGTCCCACTGCGCTTAGGCGGACCGTCGGGTCATGAGTCGTTGTCTCACTCTCACCCTTTTCATGGCCGTTGGATCCAGTAGGGTCTGAGTCAAGTGGTAGAGGGACCTGGCGCTTGGTGGACTGCAAAATCACCCGCGTCACGTGGAAATAGACATGGACATGGTCCCATATAGTCGCACTCCAGCACGCGATCAGGAGGTAACTCATAATGTCCTGCTTCCTGCACTTGGTATACCATGGTGAGGTCGACCAGGCTGCGACGTGGGCCACGGAGAAGACCAAGTAGTCATTGGGGGTGTGAGGTCACCTGGTGCAGCAGAGGGTTGGTGATTGGGCTCACGCTTCCATGAAAGGCCGCTTGGACCACGCGTGATCCAGGATCTGGCCGCGCGTCGCTCTCTTGTAGCGCGAGGCCGTGTTGTAAGCTCGACAAGGACGGCCGAAAAGAAGCTCGACAAGATAAAACCACATGCTCGACAAGAAACAAACGCATGAACTCGACAAAAAGCTAGTCACAAGCCCAACAAGTCAAGCGGTCTTGCTGTTTGCTTGTGAGTCGTGCTCTTTCGCCGTCCGCTCAACAGATTTGGAAACGGAATTTTTCGGTTTTTGGACGGTTTGTTGCCGTTTGTTTGCGGGTCGTGCTCTTGAGCCGTCCGCTCGACGGATTGTGAACGGTCTTTTGCGGCTTTTGACGGTCTTTTGGCGTTTGCTTATGGCGTTTGCTACGAAGGGTAGGACAGCGAGAGAGAGAGAGAGAGAGCAGCAAACTGTCTAAACATGTCCCATCATTGCAATGGCACCTTTTCCTTCTTCTTCCTCTCCAAGGCCTGCTATCCGTAGAAAAAACACAGTGACAAGAAGTTCGCACTTCGTGTCACATACTACACTTCTTGAAGTGTGCTCAGCGCCCTGCCTCGCTTCTCTCCGAATCCCTGGGCGCCAGTGGGCTCGCAGCTAGGGCCATATTCTAAATCGCTGGTACAAGGTAAACCTACAGTCCCAACAAGTAAGTCACTGCAAAACCACCTGGAAAAACCTACAATGTGTATATGTCCGTGTCAGAAAACCAGGTGAAACCTAAACAGCCGCGGTAACATTCAAACCTTGCACATTCACTCGTGCTGGTTGTCTAACTTCCCCCCTCAACTTTTGTCAGACCTAAAATGTAATGTCTGTCGTGTACATGGAAAACCTTGTCGGCAACCATGCAATTCTTGTCGGGGAAAGAACCCGTGCTCTTGTAGCGCCAAGTCTGGTGCTCCTCGTCCCAAGCGTAGCTCTTTGCATCCAACGCATTGCCAGTCATCCTCAAGGTTGAGGGCGATGTGATGGGCACCAGGGAACCTGTGGAGCTCAGCGAAGATTCCACGCAAGCTCAGCAGCGATCAGATCTTTGGGTCCACCGAAGCACCACCAAAGACCAACAGGGAGCGCGGGCAGGCTCCGCTGCCAACTCGGTAAAGCGCGTGCTCATGCGCTCACCGTCTTTTTGCTGCAAACCTTGAGGCAACAGGTGCACCTGTTCAACCGACATGCCAAGTGTGCTTCACGAAACGGCTTCCCAAAACTGCAAAGTGTCACGGAATGTCCAAACATCAAACTTTTCTCGAAAAGTCCAAAAGTCGAAGAGTCCAAGTTTTTCTCGAAAAGTCGAACAGTCCTGCTCTTCTCGACTAGTCGAAAAGTCCAACTTTTCTTGAAAGTGAAACTTTTCTTGCAAAGTCAAAACATGTTTGCAACATGTTTATATACTCATGTTTGCTGTAATTGTTGGCTTGCGAAGTGCTAACGTGGTCTGCAACAGGTTCTTTGCGGGGAGGTTCTCTATGGAACTTGACTTTTCTTGTTTGGAATGCATGAAAGCCTATTTTTCAGAGAGCTTCGGATCCCCGAAACAAAATCGGTCTTCTCCCACCAGCTTTTGTCGATCCATGCTGGCAAGCTTCCCAGCTTCGAATTCCAGAGAAATGCCTCCAGGACACATTGACAAAGGAGCACAAGGAGCACCATCATTTGCTAAAATTGACCAAACAAAGTTGGATCTACAAACTACAGAATACTAGCAACTCAAGAAGTGTAGAACCCTAGCACAAACCTGTGAATTGTGGGTGCCTGCACTCTAGCAAAAGCAACAGTGGCTGTCAGAATCTCTCTTCTTGAAAGGTCTGGTGGCGCCCTGTGCCTTCCTCGAGCTGTGCAAAAGTCTTCAAGAATGTTCTAAGTTCTATCTTCACCCAAACAAAGAAACCTATGTTAACGTGCAAGCTTGGTGGCGATCTAAAATTGCTTATCAGTGCAGTACTGACCTGCAGGTCGGAGAGAAACAAAATGGTGCAAGCAAGCTCCTTGCCTAAAAAGATGGAGTTGCTAAAGATCACAGCTGCAAACACGCCTGCACTTCACTCGTTGTTCGTATGTTGGATAGAAGAATGCCAAATTCATCAAACAGCGGAAACACCCAAGCAAATCTAAACTGTCAGAATTCAATGGGAATTCGGAAAACCCTTCCACCAGCAAAGGATGAAAACAGCTTGCTCACCTTCAAAGTGCTTGGAAATGACCCACTTTGCAAGCTTGTAGCTCCAAGTCTTTGGCTCATGATGCACATGCTTTGTTTCTGTCTCATCCTCGGTGTCATTAGTAATTTGCAAGAAGAATGTGATCTTTGTCTTCAAATCTTGTGGCTTGGAGTTATGTTGTATGTGATGTTTGGCCACATCGCCATCCAATTTTCGAGGCACTGGGTGTGCCGTTCGCGCAGCTCTCCGTCGGGAGCGCTCATCTGCCAACACCTTTATTCGACGTGGCAGTGTTTCCCATCTTGCACTTGAAGGGTGGCAAGATGACAAGTGAGGTATCCTGAGGTCAGCACCTCATAATCTTCCTCTTCCAAAAGAGGTATCCTCGGGTCACTCAGCTCCGGAATCAGGCCTTTCGATGGTACAAATAGAAGCCATTCAGTTTGCCACCGAGCATCGAGTTCACTTGCCACCGCTTCTTTTTAACTTTGCGTCCCCTGGCGCAAACCATAGCAAAGCCGCAAGGTTGTTTTCGATACTGTTGGTTGTGAGGTCACATCAAAGTCAGCGGCCCACAGCGGATGACAGTAAGGATGGCAACAAGGGAAAAATGTGAAAAAGGGACAACTTACTTAGAGAGCTTGGTGACAGTCATCTTGCACCTCAGTCAAATCCCTGCCTTGATTCCTCTGTTTTCTGTTCTGATGCCTAACCAAGGAACATGAAAACATGGGCTCAGCGGCTGGTGAGCTCCACATAAAACGCCCCTAAAGGCATCTCCTTTGAACTCACCCTTTTCCATATTTCAATTGTAACAGCGCACCTCCACATGCAAGGAGGTCCTCATCTTTGCATCAGAGTCTTCCAATCGCGCTTCGTGCAGCAGCGCATGTAAGGGATCCAAGGGGTCTGGGCTGTCGCTGTCCGGCACGGTCGCTTCCCGGACAGCCAAGTCCACCGGCCATCGGTCAGGAGGGTCGTTCCGGTCGGGTGGAGAAAGTGGTTGAGAAAGTACAGAAGAAAGGCCTCAAAGAAAGCTTCTACTAGCTTCTTGGCACTTGTTACTAGTAGCGATGCACTTGTTATTAGTAGCGATGCACTTGTTACTACTACAGAAGAAAGGCCCCAAAGACTCAAAGCAGCGACATCCTCTGCAATTGATCCAAGTGACGGTTGAAGAGCTCATCCTGTCTTCGTTGGATGATCTCGTCGATTTGCCTCACTTGTTTAGTAGTAGTAGTAGTAGTAGTAGTAGTAGTAGTAGTAGTAGTAGTAATGTTATAGTGTGTAATGTTATAGTGTGTAATGTTATAGTGTGTAAGTGTGTATGGATACGAAGACCGGAGTCCTCTGCGATCATTTCCAATTTGTTAAGATAGCTAGCACCTTTTCGGACGTCTTCATAAGCCGAGTTGCATAATCAGCTGGTCCATGTTGGCCTAAGAATAAGGGTCCATTGTGTTTGCTGCCTTAAACGTTAGTGGTCGAAAGATAGCACAGCAACGTCACAAGCCAAGCATCCTCCTCTTTAGGACTCTTGCGATCCTGCCATTTCGAACACTGTGCTCGGAGAAAACAAAAGGGAACTACCTCCTGTGGGATTGCAAGTCTTCAATCCGGTAAAGCCATTGGAAAAGTAACTCATCAACCACTCAGAAGGCCACCCAATGCCGTTATTACCTCCAAACCTTTGTGCATTTGTACGGATCGGAGTGTTTAGAGACACCTGAAGCGGTAGGTTTACTGTTGGATACATTTCAGTTAACAGATCTGCAAACAACCGCATTGACCCTGGCCCTAACAATACCCATTAGTTATACAAACAAGCAAGATAATGAAGCTCTTTTGCCCTTGGCAAGGCCTTCTTAGAAAAATCAAGCAACTCACAAACATTTTAGTTGCCAAATGTGTGAAGCTTACTCTGTGAAATGGTTCCTCTTTGTGAACCTAACACATTGTGCGTAATCTTTATTGTGACTTATGACTCATGACTCATGACTACTATATATATAATATACATATACGTCTCGTGTAGGCGTTCTAGTTCTCTCTTTTAAAGGCTTTCACTGTTCAGTTCTTCTGGGTAGGGCCAGCAGCCATAAGTCTCACTCACTCGTAGGTTGCCTTGAAAGGAAAAACACCATAATGAAAGGAAGCTTCGCGTCACCCTTCCTTCAAGAGCGCCATAGCTGGCTATCTCAAGGGCTGGCTATCGAGCCAAAAGGCTTGGAGCGACGAGAGGGTCAGCCGGCCAAAAGCGCTCCGTTCTGTCAAACCTACCCTGTCTTGAACTACAAATACACAAGCCACGCAAGTAGTGGACCCTGTGTTGAAGTCATTCAACACGCACCAACACGCACGTCCGCTTTTGCTTATTCCAGCCGCGGCTTCTTGGCCTATCACTGGGATCGATGACATTGAATCAAAGCAGCAAGGCAAGGCCGGGCCTCCGGCAACTCTTCTCCTGATCATTTGCAGGGGTGCAACTCTTCTTTTCTGGATGCTAGGGTCCAAAGGATACAGAAATTAAACAAAGAAAGGAATCAACCAACACAAGGTATGGAGCTGTATGGGAACCACCAGGCTGTGCTTAAGAGACATGTTGAAAGCTCGCTCTTTCCCCGCTCCTTCCCAGCAAAAGATAGCTGCCACAGTGGCCACCTCTGATGCCTTCGCCTTCTCCTCCAGCTGCGTCAGGGGTCATCGTCATTTCCAACCATGTGGTCACTTCCGTAGAGGACATGTGACATGGAGTCGTGAACCCATCCCTATATTGAACTAAGAAAAGCAGAAGGCTTGATCATCCCTCGGATTGGCAGCACTGAAATCGCACTGGACTGGAAGGAGAGTATGGAGATGGGCCTTCAGCTAGTACCTGAATCCTCTCCACAAAGAATATCCAGTATGCTTGCAAATCTCTAAGTCGAGGTACCAAGGTACCAATCCAACGCATCCAAGTCCAAAAAATCTGACGTCTCTGATGTCTCCACCAAGGTATTCACCAATCTTGACACTGCAGCCTCAAACATACAGAAACATGTGTACACCTTGCGAAGTAGACTTTGTTGTGCTCCAAAGAAGATGCACACCCCCAAATATTGCCAACAATTGATGCGACCCCCCAAAAAGCTTCGACGCATGTGTCTGTGATAATTTCAGAAAATCGATACGACTAAAACGCGGGGCTGTAAGAGGGAGAAACAGCAAGCTTGTGCTCCGTCAAAGCAGAGTGCCCAATTCAGATTGCTTCCCAGTCCTGCTGCACCCAATTGGCCTCACCCTTGGATGCCTGACCAATCAATCAGTGCTTCACAAATGAGACAAGACTTCCGTGGGCTATGATGTGGCACCGTGGCACCGATTTAGCAGCCAACTATATAAGCATGTCCAGAGTCAGAGATAAATACACAATCTTTACAGTAATATCGGCGATACCTTTATTTGCTTCATCTCCAAAAATCCAGCCCAAGCCTCTTTCAAGCGATCCTTTGCTTGCCTCAACAGGAACGAAAACACATCAAGGAAACACTAATTCGGATGATGAACATGTTGACGACATAGGTCGCAGTTAAGCCAAAACGGAAGAGAATGATCCGTTGACGTGCCCGCCAAGAAAAGGATCAAAATAACAAATAACACGAATATATCCTCTAGCCCAAGCAGCTCAGAAAGAACTTGGCTGGCTTTGGCTGCATCCGGCACGCATGCCTTCAGAGCAACAGGAGATAGCCCGGAATTTGCACAGCTCAAGTGTTCAAAACAAACGGTAGCGGGTAAAGCCAGCCAGGCCTCAGCAATCGCACCGATATCCTGCAAGGAAGACTTGCAACTCCGTTGAACTCATTGCCTGTGCTATCAGTCAAAGCCAAGGGCGGGTTCGCTCTCAGTGTTGGAAACATGCAGAGAGAGATATGGCTATTGCCACGTTTCCCAGGGCTCTGATCATTCAGCCTTGAACCGGAGAGCGATCTTAAAACATCGAGGGTAAGCGACAAAGCGGTGAAACGTATGTGCCCCTCAGAGCCAACCTCAAGGCTGACAAAATCCACCCCCACAAGTCTTTCGGACGCCCTTTTACTGTTCCATCCATGTGTTGTAGAACCTGGAATCTGTCGTAGGTGCGTGTTCATACCGCCTGTCTTGACATCGGACCAGTGGCCACCGTCTCCTGGGGAGTAAAGCCACTTGCAAATAGTCCGGCAGTGCCCAGTATGAGCAGCGAATGATCACCTCAAAGCATAGGAGAAGCCTAAAGCTCAAGGATTTCAATTGTGCAACTTGCCGCGTCCTTTTAAACATGGAGTGTCTTTCAGAGAGCGAACTTCTTGAGGTGTTACTTGTTTATATATATATATATGTGTTGTTTTGCAGGAAACCTAGGTTTGGTGCGCATGTTGCACGGACATTCACACTGCAACTAACTGTCTGCGGTAATGTGCGCCTGAAGGATTCGGAATACGATTTCGTCAAGTGTTGAAGATCGGAATCACAGTACAGCGCATGCGATTGGTACAAACAAGAGGTCCGCACATGCAAACAGACATGCTTGTAGCAAGGTTCGCAAATGCAAGAGTATGAAAAGGCGAAGAAATGCAAGGTCGTGCAAAAGGTGCTGCCTCGTTGCTTATTGCCCTGTTGTCAAAATGGGTGTGAATTGCCCAACGAAGTCAGGCTCTTTCTTGCCCATTACACAGCAAGTCTTCAACAACGGTGAACGAGAACCGGGCCAGGCTGCAGCTCGATGACCTGATTCTTAGCAGCAGTGGTAGCAGCTGATGAAGCATGTTGACGCAAACGTGTCACTGCTCCCACGTCAACTTGTCACCCGATTTCAACGCGCAAGTATCTGTGGTTTGGAATCTCGTGCATCTTCCGAAGTCACGCAAGCAAACCAAGCAAAATTGCTGTGCCTCTGAGAGCAAATCCTGCAGAATAGCCAAAAAATAATATTTGGAGTCATTTGCACAACTCCAAACTCAATCCATCAAATCCTGAATCTTCACCTTTCATAAGTCTTTTCAGCTTGGCCGACCTTCTTTGTTTAGCTTTAGTTTCAATGTGTTTACTGTGTCCTCCGTCCACCGAGACTTGACCGGTCTCCTCCAAACGCAGCTTCTCTGCGGCCTTTCCGCCCGCCGCAGCCGCCGCTTGCGCCTTCACCGCGGCAGCCCCCGCGGCGGCCACGGCCTGGGAGCCGGGGCGCTTCCCGCCGGGCAGCGCCACCTGAAGCGAAACCATAAAGCGAAAAAGCGAAAAGCCGCTGTCAGTAGCTTCTTTGCTCCTAGTAGCGATGCCCTTGCTCCTAGCAATGCCAGGAGCTACTAGTAGCTTCTTTGCTACTAGTAGCAATGGCCTCCAACCGAAAACCAAAATTGCCGTGACAAGTCTTGGATGGCCATTGTGACATCTTTGTTTTCGATGCTGTCTACTTGCTGTTCTTTGGGGACTAGTTTTGTACCGCGCAAGAATCAAATACATTCCACAACAACAAGGTCAGGATGACAATCATGGTTAACCTCTGATCAAGTGCTTTACATTCAGCACGAAAAATGCGCTGAGTACCCGTGCTGAACCGCCAATCTGCTGCACAGGGGTGCGCGCCTGAGATAAAGGCTTACAGCTGGGGGAGATATATAGCTGATGTTGCTTGGAAATGTTCATAAGGTTCGACTGCCGCTTCAATGGGTTCTTTAAGTACTTATGACTTATGACGTGTTGTTCAAAAGGATTCCGGAGAGAATCCCCTTTTCATCTCTTTCAGACAGTATCACTATGATCTTACTAAGAAAACTCTTGCAGATCTGACCATCCAGGGCACCCGAAGACGCATCAAACTCTTGGCACGCTTCTGCTCAGGGGTCTCCTGCGAGCAGCGCCGCAGCACACCATCCTGGCATTCCGAGAACCAGGACCCTGAACCAAAACAAGATGAAGCCCACGAACCCGAATGCAAACACATTCGAAAAGCTACATATGTCCAAATGACACTCTTGTAGGACACTCTTGTGGGTCACTCACTCTTGTGGGACACTCTTACAGGACACTCTTGTGGCACACTCTTGTAGGACACTGTTGTGGGACACTCTAGTAGGACACTCTTGTGGGACACTCTTGTGGGACACTCTTGCGGGTCACTCTTGTAGGAAACTCTTGTGGGACACTCTTACGGGACACTCTTGTGGGTCACTCGTGTCGGAAACTCTTGTGGGACACTCTTATGGGACACTCTTGTAGGACACTCTTGTGGGACCCTCTTATAGGACACTCTTGTGGGACACTCTTATGCGAGATTCTTATCGGACACTCTTGTGGGACACTCTTGTGAGACACTCTTGTAGGACACTCTTGTGGGTCACTCTCACAGGACACTCTTCTGGGACACTCTTGTGGGTCACTCTCACCCCCGTAGGACACTCTTGTGACGAAACAATCTTGTGGGACACTCTTCTGGGACACTCTTGGCGCTCACACTCTTGTCGGACACTCTTACGGGACACTCTTGTGGGACACTCTTGTAGGGCACTCTTGTGGGTCACTCTCACTCTTGTAGGACACTCTTGTGGGACACTCTTGTAGGACACTCTTGTCGCACACTCTTGTAGGACACTCTCTCTTCTAACAAACACTCTTATAGGACACTCCTGTGGGGCACTCTTGTGGGACACTCTTGTAGGACACTCTTGTGGGACACTCTTGTAGGTCACTCTTGCGGGTCACTCTTGTAGGAAACTCTTGCGGGGCAATCTTTTTGGACACTCTTGTGGACACTCTGACGGGACGCTCTTGTAGGACACTCTTCTGGGACGCTCTTGTGGGACACTCTTGTGAGACACTCTTGTAGCACACTCTTGCGGTTTACTCTTACAGGACACTGTTCTGAGACACTCTTGTAGGACACTCTTGTGGGACACTCTTGTAGGACACATGATGCCACAAATCATCCCGCTCACCAGCGACACGCCGCGTTTACGCCAGCATGTTTCGCGCTCCCTAGTGGCACGGCGCCACGCAAACGCACTTCCACAAAGTCCGCGCAAAGCCCAATGGCGCTGCGACATCACGAATGTATTTTCGCCACACGGTTCACCACACACAAGAAGCAAACATATCACATGATACCACAAATACTCGATACCACCAATCATCCCGCTCACCAGCGACGCGCCGCGTTTACACCAGCATGTTTC